CTGCTCCCTTGCAGACGCTCCACATGGACGTGTGGGGCCCAGCCCGCGTCCGTGGTCAGGGTCAGGAGAGGTACTTCCTGATAGTTGTTGACGACTACTCGCGCTACACCACGGTCTTCCCCTTGCGCACCAAGGGTGAGGTCCCTGATGTTTTGATCCCTTGGATCAGCGCTTCTCGTCTCCAGCTCAGCGAGCGTTTCCACTCGGATTTTCCTGTCCTGCGCTTGCACTCTGACAGAGGTGGTGAGTTCTCCTCCGACCTCTTGGCAGCCTACTGTGCGGAGCACGGCATCCGCCAGTCGTTCACGCTTCCGGCCTCTCCACAGCAGAATGGGGTTGCTGAGCGCCGCATTGGCTTGGTCATGGAGGTCGCTCGTACCTCCTTGATCCATGCGGCTGCCCCCCACTTTCTGTGGCCGTTTGCAGTCCGATACGCTGCGCATCAGCTCAACCTCTGGCCCCGTGTCTCCGTTCCGGAGACTTCGCCGATACTGCGTTGGACAGGAAAGGTTGGCGATGCGTCACGCTTTCGGGTCTGGGGATCTCGAGCCTTTGTTCGCGATACGTCCACGGACAAGCTCTCCTCCCGCGCTGTTCCTTGTGTCTTCCTTGGCTTTGTCCCGGACGCGTCTGGTTGGCAGTTTTACCACCCCACCTCGCGCCGTGTCCTGCCTTCTCAGGACGTCACTTTCGACGAGTCCGTCCCCTACTACCGCCTCTTCCCCTACCGCACTGCCCCGCTTCCCCCCCCGCCTCTCTTCCTCGCGCCAGGTGCTGCTGTGGTAGACCCCCTCCCCCCTCAGGGTGCCGCTCCCTCAGGTGTGTCCCAGGTAGACCCGGTTGAGCCTGTCGAGGTAGCTGTCGACTCTCGTCCTGCTAGGGGTGCTGAGCCTGAGGGTGCTGAGCCTGAGCGTGCGGAGCCTGGGGGTGCGGAGCCTGGGGGTGCGGAGCCTGGGGGTGCGGAGACTGGGGTTGCAGAGTCTGGGGGTGCGGAGCCTGGGGTTGCGGAGTCTGGGGGTGCTGAGCCTGGGGGTGCGGAGCCTGGGGGTGCTGAGCCTGCGGGTGCTGAGTCTGGGGGTGCTGAGTCTGGAGGTGCTGAGCCTGGGAGTGCTACACCTGGAGGAGCTCTCTCCTCACAGCAGCTGCGTGAGTGGTACTTACAGTACTGCAGCCTCAGGAGAGGTGCTTCTGGGGCCAGGAGTACTGCTGGAGCTGGTGCTAGTGCTTCCCCTCCTAGGCGGGAGCTGCCCTCTCCCCAGCGGCTCCGAGAGTGGTACGCACGGCACTGCAGTCTTCGGAGTGGCGCTCCTAGTGTCGCGGACCCAGCTGCTGAAGGTTCTGCTGCTGGCGGTGCTTCTGGCGCTGCTGTAGGTACTGCTAGTGCTGGAGCTGCTGGTGCTGCTGACGCTACTGGAGGTGCTGCTGGTGCTGGTGGTACTGCTGGTGCTGCTGGAGCTGCTGGAGGTGCTGCTGGTGCTGGGGCTGCTGGAGCTGCTGGAGGTGCTGCTTCTTCTGGAGGTGCGGCTGGTGCTGCGGACCTGGGCGTTGGAGTTGCTGCTGGTGCTGCGGACCCTGGAGTCGGAGCTGCTGCTGGTGCTGCGGACCCTGGAGTTGGAGCTGCTGCTGGTGCTGAGGACCCTGGAGGTGGAGCTGCTGCTGGTGCTGAGGACCCTGGCGCTGGTGTCTCTGCTGGTTCTGGAGACGCTGCGCGGCCGCGGCCGTACTTCGTTCCGCTCCTTCAGCAGGTTTTTGGTCAGCCTCCTCCTCCTTGTCCTCCTCCCTCCTTAGAGTGTCCTCCGTCTGTCCAGTCGCAGTCACAGTTACCGTCTGCCTCCCCTCTCTCTGGTCCTTCTCCTTACACTGGTCCGACTGGAGGTCTTACGGAGCGTCGTGAGCCTGAGTCTCGTCCTGCGTCGCCTGAGTCTCGTCGAGCGTCGCCTGTACGTGCTGCTCACACTGGTCGTCGTGTCCCGCGTCAGCGTCCTCCTGCTGTCCCAGGCACTCACCAGATGGCGCTTCGTCCTTCCACTGCTCCCCAGCGTGTCCCTCTCCCGTCTCCTCCTGCGTCCTCTCTTCCTGCTCTTGCTGACCCTGAGTCTGACTCCCTTCGTGCTACCAGTCCTACTGTCACGCGTCTCCTGGCTACTGTTGTCACTGACCCTTCCTTTGAGTCCAGTGCTGCGTCTGCCTTAGTTGCTGAGCTTGTCGACTTTGCTGCCGCTTGTCGTCTAGACTATGCTGCGAGTCTTGTTGCTGAGTCTGAGTCTGTCTGTCCTCCGTCCGTCGGGGGTGAGTGTGCTCTTGGCACGGACGTCCTTGAGGACAGGCAGGAGGAGTTTGAGTGCTTTGCCGCTGCTTTACCTCATCTCGTGTCCATGCTAGTTGCCCCTGAGGGAGACCCGGATGCACCAGACATCCCGACTCCGCGCTCTTATGCAGAGGCGATAGAGGGTCCCTACTCCTCTCAGTGGCAGACAGCCATGGACGCAGAGATGGCTTCCTGGAAGTCCACAGGCACCTACGTCGACGAGGTTCCCCCACCTGGGGCGAACATCGTCAGTGGCATGTGGATTTTCAGGGTGAAGCGGCCGCCGGGTTCTCCGCCTGTCTTCAAGGCGCATTACGTTGCACGAGGCTTCAGTCAGCGAGAGGGAGTTGACTTCTTCCAGACCTTCTCCCCGACCCCGAAGATGACCACTCTTCGGGTTCTGCTGCACGTCGCCGCTCAGCGTGACTACGAGCTCCACTCTCTTGACTTCAGCACTGCTTTCCTACAGGGCAGCCTGCACGAGGAGATCTGGTTGCGCCGCCCACCTGGCTTCACTGGGTCGTTCCCTCCTGGTACCCAGTGGAGCCTCCGGCGGCCAGTCTACGGTCTCCGACAGGCGCCACGTGAGTGGCACGACACACTGAGGACTACACTTGCGGCTCTTGGGTTCGCTCCTTCTACTGCTGACCCGTCGCTGTTTCTACGCACCGACACCTCGCTGCCGCCGATCTACATCCTCGTGTACGTCGACGACTTGGTCTTTGCCACTGCTGACACTGCGGCACTCGCCCACGTGAAGTCGGAGTTACAGAAGAGACACACGTGCACAGACCTGGGTGAACTGACAAGCTATCTTGGCTTGCGGATCACCCGGGACAGAGCACGGCGCACCATCACCTTGACTCAGTCACACATGGTGCAGCAGGTCCTTTAGCGCTTCCGCTTCACGTACTCCTCGCCTCAGCCCACTCCTCTGCCTACCGGTCACTCGCTCTCAGCTCTGCCTTCGGATGAGTCCGTAGAGCCGAGTGGCCCGTATCCAGAGCTTGTGGGCTGCCTCATGTACCTGATGACCTGCACTCGACCTGACCTTGCATACCCTCTTAGCATCCTTGCACGCTATGTCGCTCCTGGCCGTCACCGGAAGGAGCACATGGATGCCGCTAAGAGGGTGTTGCGCTACTTGTGCAGTACGTCGGGCATGGGGCTAGTGCTTGGAGGACGAGACCGAGTTGTACTCACTGGGCACTCAGACGCGTCTTGGGCTGACGACCAGGCTACTCAGCGGTCGTCTCAGGGTTACACCTTCAGCCTTGGCTCTGGTTCAGTTTCTTGGCGTTCTACACGCTCGTCTTCTGTTCTCAGCTCCAGTTGTGAGGCTGAGATCTACGCCACAGCTATGGCTGCACAGGAGTTACGCTGGCTCACCTACCTGCTGACCGACTTGGGAGAGCGGCCTCGTTCTCCTCCAGTGCTGTACGTCGACAACAAGGCTGCCATTGCCTTGTGTGAGGAGCACAGACTGGAGCACAGAACGAAGCATATCGCTCTGCGCTACTTCCTTGCTCGAGAGCTGCAGCAGCGCGGTCAGCTTCGTCTGCGTTACGTGGCCACTCGGGCCAACACTGCTGATGTGTTCACCAAGGCGCTTCAGCCTTGTGACCATCAGCGCTTCTGTACTGTTCTAGGCCTCGTGCCTACTGGGCCTCACTTGCTTACTTCTTGACTCTACTTGTACTGTGATCTCTGTATATATACCTGCTTGTTTACTCTTGCTAGGTTGTGATCACTGTATCTCTTGTTATACTATCAACCTGCATGTGAACTGGTCTTGTGACCACTTGCTTGTGCTCAGAATTTGTGTGGTTTCCTTGAGATCCACCCTGAGCTTGCTTTGCTTTGCTTTGACTGGTCTTGTGACCATCTGGTTCTCTCCCACTTAGCCTATGGGGGTGTGTCAAACATTATATGTTTATATTGTGTAGGCTATAGTGGGTTTAGCCTTAGGGGGTACAGCTTTGTTAGGGTTTCCTACTTGTATCCCCCTCCTACCTAGTTTCATGCATTCTCGTTCTATTCTAGATTCTAACAAAAAGCAATATCTAAACATACATTTTACAAGCTAAGCTATACCTGTAGTGATGCGAAGAGTGTACGTATTTTATAAATCAGGGTGTGCACTATATATAACATCGCTCCCCCCCTCCCCTCGCGCCCCCCTCCATTTTTCCGTTCGAAATCAGTGCATCCACTGTAGATCTTGACGCGACTCGGTTGACCCTGAACATTTGGTCAAAACACAACCTGCTTCAGTTGTTTCCGTCCGAAATCCAGCGGTTTTCAGGCGGAAATCCATTGAAAACCAAGCCTGGCATTTTTTGTTGAATGCCAGACCTTGGTGACCCCTCAAATCCTCCAAACCTGAACCAGGTTTTTTGTGATGAACAACCCGAATAATGCGGCCTGGAAGACTGAATGAATTCTCTTTTCTCGCCGGCGCATCACATCGTCCTAATCATTGCCTCTTCCTTCGCCCCACTAGGACCACAGCTGGAACTTGCTCACGTAGCTTGACACTTGCTCACAGGTGGAATTTTCCTGAGTTTCAGCTCCTCCCAAATCTCTCCCCAATCTCCCCTTGCTGCCAGAATCGCACACCAGTCTTCGTTCGGGCAATCAATTCCCGCGCCTGGCTACGCTGGCGACTTGGAAGTCCCCCTGCTCGGCTCAGATGCTCCACTGCAGCGTAAAGTGGCGGATGACAAAAGATTGTGGGAGGAAATCGCTGCGGAGGAGGAGGATCGGGCGCCTAGCAGCGGAGGCCGAAAAAGGGATGGAGGAAGATGCTCAGGTGTATCAGGATAAGCAGATAGCGGATGAAACGGCAAGGTTAGATAAGGAGGCGGCAAAGAAGGTGGAGCGGGATGCCAAGGTTTTGGAAGCGTATCTGGCGGAGAGGGCGGCGGAGGAGAAGGCGGCGGAGAGGGCGGCGGAGAAGGTGGCGGCAGAGAGGGCGGCGGAGGAGAAGGCGGCAGAGAGGGCGGCGAAGGAGAGGGCGGCGGCGGAGAAGGCGGCGGCGAAGGAGAAGATGGCGAAGGAGAGGGCGGAGGAGGAGAAGGCGGCGGCGGAGAAGGCGGCGAAGGAGAGGGCGGCGGCGGAGAATGCGGTGATGGAGAGGGAGGCGGCGGAGAAGGCGGCGGAGAGGGCGGCGAAGGAGAGGGCGGCGGCGGAGAAGGCTGTTAGAATCTAGAATAGAACGAGAATGAATGAAACTAGGTAGGAGGGGGATACAAGTAGGAAACCCTAACAAAGCTGTACCCTTTAAGGCTAAACCCACTATAGCCTACACAATATAAACATATAATGTTTGACACACCCCCATAGGCTAAGTGGGAGACAACCAAATGGTCACAAGACCAGTCAAAGCAAAGCAAAACAAGCTCAGGGTGGATCTCAAGGAAACCACACAAATTCTGAGCAGAAGCAAGTGGTCACAAGACCAGTTCACATGCAGGTTGATAGTATAACAAGAGATACAGTGATCACAACCTAGCAAGAGTAAACATGCAGGCATATATATAGAGATCACAGTACAAGTAGAGTCAAGAAGTAAGCAAGTGAGGCCCAGTAGGCACAAGGCCTAGAACAGTACAGAAGCGCTGATGGTCACAAGGCTGAAGCGCCTTGGTGAACACATCAGCAGTGTTGGCCCGAGTGGCCACGTAACGCAGACGAAGCTGACTGCGCTGCTGCAGCTCTCGAGCAAGGAAGTAGCGCAGAGCGATATGCTTCGTTCTGTGCTCCAGTCTGTGCTCCTCACACAAGGCAATGGCAGCCTTGTTGTCGACGTACAGCCCTGGAGGAGAACGAGGCCGCTCTCCCAAGTCGGTCAACAGGTAGGTGAGCCAGCGTAACTCCTGTGCAGCCATGGCTGTGGCGTAGATCTCAGCCTCACAACTGGAGCTGAGAACAGAAGACGAGCGTGTAGAACGCCAAGAAACTGAACCAGAGCCAAGGCTGAAGGTATAACCCTGAGACGACCGCTGAGTAGCCTGGTCGTCAGCCCAAGAAGCGTCTGAGTGCCCAGTGAGTACAACTCGGTCTCGTCCTCCAAGCACTAGCCCCATGCCCGACGTACTGCACAAGTAGCGCAACACCCTCTGAGCGGCATCCATGTGCTCCTTCCGGTGACGGCCAGGAGCGACATAGCGTGCAAGGATGCTAAGAGGGTATGCAAGGTCAGGTCGAGTGCAGGTCATCAGGTACATGAGGCAGCCCACAAGCTCTGGATACGGGCCACTCGGCTCTACGGACTCATCCGAAGGCAGAGCTGAGAGCGAGTGACCGGTAGGCAGAGGAGTGGGCTGAGGCGAGGAGTACGTGAAGCGGAAGCGCTAAAGGACCTGCTGCACCATGTGTGACTGAGTCAAGGTGATGGTGCGCCGTGCTCTGTCCCGGGTGATCCGCAAGCCAAGATAGCTTGTCAGTTCACCCAGGTCTGTGCACGTGTGTCTCTTCTGCAGCTCCGACTTCACGTGGGCGAGTGCGACAGTGTCAGCAGTGGCAAAGACCAAGTCGTCGACGTACACGAGGATGTAGAACGGCGGCAGTGAGGTGTCGGTGCGTAGAAACAGCGACGGGTCAGCAGTAGAAGGAGCGAACCCAAGAGCCGCAAGTGTAGTCCTCAGTGTGTCGTGCCACTCACGTGGCGCCCGTCGGAGACCGTAGACTGGCCGCCGGAGGCTCCACTGGGTACCAGGAGGGAACGACCCAGTGAAGCCAGGTGGGCGGCGCAACCAGATCTCCTCGTGCAGGCTGCCCTGTAGGAAAGCAGTGCTGAAGTCAAGAGAGTGGAGCTCGTAGTCACGCTGAGCGGCGACGTGCAGCAGAACCCGAAGAGTGGTCATCTTCGGGGTCGGGGAGAAGGTCTGGAAGAAGTCAACTCCTTGAAGACAGGCGGAGAACCCGGCGGCCGCTTCACCCTGAAAATCCACATGCCACTGACGATGTTCGCCCCAGGTGGGGGAACCTCGTCGACGTAGGTGCCTGTGGACTTCCAGGAAGCCATCTCTGCGTCCATGGCTGTCTGCCACTGAGAGGAGTAGGGACCCTCTATCGCCTCTGCATAAGAGCGCGGAGTCGGGATGTCTGGTGCATCCGGGTCTCCCTCAGGGGCAACTAGCATGGACACGAGATGAGGTAAAGCAGCGGCAAAGCACTCAAACTCCTCCTGCCTGTCCTCAAGGACGTCCGTGCCAAGAGCACACTCACCCCCGACGGACGGAGGACAGACAGACTCAGACTCAGCAACAAGACTCGCAGCATAGTCTAGACGACAAGCGGCAGCAAAGTCGACAAGCTCAGCAACTAAGGCAGACGCAGCAGTGGACTCAAAGGAAGGGTCAGTGACAACAGTAGCCAGGAGACGCGTGACAGTAGGACTGGTAGCACGAAGGGAGTCAGACTTAGGGTCAGCAAGAGCAGGAAGAGAGGACGCAGGAGGAGACGGGAGAGGGACACGCTGGGGAGCAGTGGAAGGACGAAGCGCCATTTGGTGAGTGCCTGGGACAGCAGGAGGACGCTGACGCGGGACACGACGACCAGTGTGAGCAGCACGTACAGGCGACGCTCGACGAGACTCAGGCGACGCAGGACGAGACTCAGGCTCACGACGCTCCGTAAGACCTCCAGTCGGACCAGTGTAAGGAGAAGGACCAGGGAGAGGGGAGGCAAACGGTAACTGTGACTGCGACTGGACAGACGGAGGACACTCTAAGGAGGGAGGAGGACAAGGAGGAGGAGGCTGACCAAGAACCTGCTGAAGGAGCGGAACGAAGTACGGCCGCGGCCGCGCAGCGTCTCCAGAACTAGCAGAGACACCAGCGCCAGGGTCCTCAGCACCAGCAGCAGCACCACCTCCAGGGTCCTCAGCACCAGCAGCAGCTCCAACTCCAGGGTCCGCAGCACCAGCAGCAGCGCCGACTCCAGGGTCCGCAGCACCAGCAGCAGCTCCAACGTCCGGGTCCGCAGCACCAGCAGCAGCTCCAACGCCCGGGTCCTCAGCACCAGCAGAGGCTCCAACTCCAGGGTCCGCAGCACCAGTAGCACCTCCAGAAGAAGCAGTACCTCCAGCAGCTCCAGTAGCCCCAGCACCAGCAGCACCTCCAGCAGCTCCAGCAGCACCAGCAGTACCACCAGCAGCGCCAGAAGCACCGCCAGCAGCAGCACCTCCAGCAGCTGGGTCCGCGACACTAGGAGCGCCACTCCGGAGACTGCAGCGCCGTGCGTACCACTCTCGGAGCCGCTGGGGAGAGGGCAGCTCCCGCCTAGGAGGGGAAGCACTAGCACCAGCTCCAGCCGCACTCCTAGCTCTAGAAGCACCTCTCCTGAGGCTGCAGTACTGTAAGTACCACTCACGCAGCTGCTGTGAGGAGAGAGCTCCTCCAGGTGTAGCACTCCCAGGCTCAGCACCTCCAGACTCAGCACCCCCAGACTCAGCACCCGCAGGCTCCGCACCCCCAGGCTCAGCACCCCCAGGCTCCGCACCCCCAGGCTCAGCACCCCCAGCAGGACGAGAGTCGACAGCTACCTCGACAGGCTCAACCGGGTCTACCTGGGACACACCTGAGGGAGCGGCACCCTGAGGGGGGAGGGGGTCTACCACAGCAGCACCTGGCGCGAGGAAGAGAGGCGGGGGGGGGAGCGGGGCAGTGCGGTAGGGGAAGAGGCGGTAGTAGGGGACGGACTCGTCGAAAGTGACGTCCTGAGAAGGCAAGACACGGCGCGAGGTGGGGTGGTAAAACTGCCAACCAGACGCGTCCGGGACAAAGCCAAGGAAGACACAAGGAACAGCGTGGGAGGAGAGCTTGTCCGCAGACGTATCGCGGACAAAAGCTCGAGATCCCCAGACCCGAAAGCGTGACGCATCGCCAACCTCTCCCGTCCAACGCAGTGTCGGCGAAGTCTCCGGAACGGAGACACGGGGCCAGAGGTTGAGCTGATGCGCATCGTATCGGACTGCAAACGGCCACAGAAAGTGGGGGGCAGCCGCATGGATCAAGGAGGTACGAGCGACCTCCATGACCAAGCCAATGCGGCGCTCAGCAACCCCATTCTGCTGTGGAGAGGCTACGCGGCGAGCAGGTGACGACGCCGCGGGCAGGGCGACGCGGCGGGCAGGTGGCGACGCCGCGGGCAGATGGCGACGCCGCGGGCAGGCGGCGACGCCGCGGGCAGGGCGACGCGGCGGGCGGCGAGAGCCTGCAGGGGCGGCGCGCGGTCGGGCAGAGGCTGCGCGCAGGCCTGACGGGTCTGCAGGGGCGGCTCTCGGGCCTGACGGGTCTGCAGGGGCGGCTCGAGGGCCTGACGGGTCTGCAGGGGCGGCTCTCGGGCCTGACGGGCCTGCAGAGGCGGCTCGGGGGGGGCCTGACGGGTCTGCAGAGGCGGCTCGGGGGCCTGACGGACCTGAAGGGGCGGCTCGAGGGCCGTACTAGCTTGTAGGAGGCAGCGCGAGGGCTACAGGACGGCACTCAGGCAGACCGAAGGGCGGGGCGCGCGAGGGCGCACGAGCAGAGAAAGGCGCACGAGGGCGCACGAGGGCGCACGAGGGCGCACGAGGGCGCACGAAGGCGCACGAGCAGAGAAAGGCGCACGAGGGCGCACGTAGGGTAGGGCGCACGAGGGCGCTTCTAGCGGAATAGTGGGCCCGTAGTAGAAAGCGGTCCTAGGTAGCAACCTAGGCTCGTGATACCATGTTAGAATCTAGAATAGAACGAGAATGAATGAAACTAGGTAGGAGGGGGATACAAATAGGAAACCCTAACAAAGCTGTACCCCCTAAGGCTAAACCCACTATAGCCTACACAATATAAACATATAATGTTTGACAAAGGCGGCACTGGAAACGGCACAACGGGAGTCTGAAGCGAATCAGAAGGCGGAGAAGGAGAAGAGGGCGAAAATCATCAGAGATTCACTCCTTGGGGTGGGGAGCCGCGGCAAAAGGGGTCGCAGGGACAGGGGCTGATGCCGCCGCAGCAGCCGGGGAGGAAGCAGCCAGGAACTGAAGAAAAAGCAGCCGGTGGTTGTGACGAGGCAACTGGACGCGTTGACGACGGAACAGGAGAGTACGGAAGTGCAGGCGCCGGTCAGGGGGCAGAAGCCGGCGGGGCAGACGCGGGCGGCGGGGCAAAGGCGGACGAGGCAAACGCGGCCGGGAGAGACGCGGGCGGGGCAGTCGCGGGTCGAATCGCACATCAATCCTCGTTCGGACAGTCCGTTTCCGCACCTAGCTACGCTGGCGACTCGGGCATTCCCTTGCTCGGCTCAGCCCCACTCCAGCGTAAACTGCAGCAGCAGAGGGTGCCTATTGACTTGTGCATCCCCCTGCCCAGCTCAAATGCCCCACTCCAACGTAAACTGCAGCAGCAGAGGGTGCCGAAACAAAAGCCGGTGCCGCAGAGGCCGGTGACGGCGCCACAGCAGAAGCCGGTGCCGACACCAAGGCGGCCGGTCCCGGCGGTGGTGAAGCCTGCCGCGCAGGTGCAGCAGCCGGCGGCGGTGCAGCAGCCCGCGGAGGGGCAGCAGGCTGCGACGGAGAAGACGGAAGCGCAGAAAATAGCAGAGGGTTAGGCGGCCCTTGCAGCGTGGATCCAGGCGGGTCGGGTGGCGCTGGATCAGAAGAATGATCAGGATCAGTCTGATCAGTATCAGGGGGGAAATGGCGGCGGAGCAAGAGAGGCAGGATCGGTTGCACGGTGTGATTCCGTAGGCGGAGAGAAGGAGAGACCGGAGCAGATGTTCAGAGAGCTGTACGATGTAGCGTGGCTTCGTTTGCTTTTGAGACGCCTCAAAAGCAGCAGGATATGGCGGCTGGAAAGGCAGGATCAGTTGCACGGTGTGTGATTCCGTAGGAGAGGCCGGAGGGGAGTTTTAGAGAAATGCACGAGGTAGCGTTGCTTTGTTTCTTTGTACGATGCAGTTTGCTTGTTTGTATGATTCGCTTCATGGCTAGCAAGTATTGATGTGGTGAAACAAAACAATTTCGGGCCAAAAAGTCGCCTGGCGCTAGGTATAGATCCTATGCATTCTAACCGTGACATGCACAAACGACTCTACCAAGCTTAGCATAAGTTTCCTTTCCCAGTTTGTTAGAGACTCTGACGTTTCTTAAAACCCGGGGTCCAAGAGTTTCTAAGTTAGGAAGGTTGCTAGGGGCAAGAAACGTGACTGTCTTGCGAACCAGGGTGTTGTCGAAATCGGTGTTTTGTTATAGTCACAGTAGGCTTCAATGTGCCTAAAACGTAAGATAGAGTGCACAGTCGGATTTCTGCACAGCGGCTTTAAACATTCATAGCGTTCTGGTCATAGCTGTAAATGACCTGATTCAACTTGGATCTGGAGCGTCTTAACGTCGCCTACAATAGGCAATTTAGATCGTACGATTTCACTAAGTATTGACAACACAGCGTTGGTTTGAACGAACGGCACTATGGCAGCCACTATAGTCTTAGAACACAGGATAGGAAGAGTTACGAGTTGGGAATGACTCCCAGCTTCTACAAACCCCAAGAGCCGAGGTACAGTGATGTGGAACAGTGCCACACTCTCCCCAACCACGAAGGGTCTTTAAAATACCCTTCACTAGGGCCTACACCAAGTGAAATGTTACACTACACAAAGTAATGTAACTATCTTCAATATCTTGAGGTATACCCTTTTCGCGGGCTTCGCGATTACTTGAATCTTGACACCAAGGCTCTGGTTCTTCACCACAAACTCATCCTTGAGTTCTTGATGGGTCTGCTGCACACACCTGCGACACGCCGAACGTTCCACACACATGACAAAATAGAAATGGAGCACGAGACACACGACAAAATAGAAACCGCGCACGGGACACAAACGACCGCGTGACACGCGACTAGCGATAACTCGCTATTGACTCGACACACACACTCGACATCATGACTCAGCATTCACACACTATTATAAGCATGAAATATATATTATCCCATGCCCTCATACCATTCCATGCACACACGCATGCACGCACACGGACAACAAGCCGAGTGCAAACCGTAGGTTGCACCAACAAACTCCCCCTTGGATTGTTGGCCTTAGGATATGTTACTCTCTCAGTTCAGAGCCATCCCAGCCAGCTTGCAACACTTCCAATGCTGCTGCTCCACCAGCCTCTTACTCATCATGTCAGCCGGCTGCCCCGTGGTCTTCACGTAGCGCAACTCAACTTCACCCGCGGCCACCATGCTCCTCGTCCAATGCCACTTCACCCTCATGTGCTTCATGAGGCCATGCAACACAGGGTTCTTAGCAAGAGCAATGGCACCCTGGCTATCACAGTAGAGAGGGGTAGGTCCTTGTTGCTCCTCCTCCAATTCAGCCAACAAACGCCACTGCCACACAATCTCCCGTACCGCATGGAAGAGTGCCATGTACTCAGACTCCACCGAGCTCAATGCTTGGTCCACCTGCTTCTTGCTCTCCCAAGCATTTGGTCCTCCACCAATACAGCAAATGAACCCTCCAACACTTGTCATGTCCTCTGGTTCAGATGCATATGAAGCATCCGAATAGGCGGTGAGGAACAAACGCCCGGGTTCTACACCATCCGCGCCCTTTTGGCGCCTTTGCGCCGCCGCCGAGTATTGCAGCCCAACGGTCGGTGTTTGGCCAAGATACTTGGCCACCCTCATTCCAGCTGCTACCTGCTCCTCATTAGGGCATTGCACTACCCTAGCTAGCTGTCCGGTAGCAAAGGCCACGTCCGACCGAGTGTTTACCGCCGCATACATGAGGCTGCCCACCAACGAGTGAAAACGGCGCCTCTCCTCTTCACCAACGCTCTCCTCCTCTGGTCCCTTCACACACTTGAACCCAGAAGGAAAGGGAGTAGCCACATGACCTTCACTCTGCCCAAAGTTGGCAGCCAACGCCTCCAGGTTCTTCCGTTGGTGCACCCGCATGTGTCGAGGAGAAAAGGCCCCGCCCTCGCTTGGGCGAAGTCGGCCATGCTTTTCGGAGCACAACGGTGTTCGTTTCGTGGTCATCGACGACTTCAGGGACATTTATCTCTGAACGACTGGTCGATTTTCGACGAGATTAAATCGTCGAAATTGAAGTGTTGTTTCTGCTCTACGCAACTGCCCCTCGTCGAGGCACTTGTCGAGGGGAACAAAACGGCGTCGAAATCGAGCCTTGCGGGTCGACGAAATGGTAGAAAACAGCGTTTCGACGAAACGCTGGTCGACAGAATTAAGCTCGAAACAGGCACCGTCGAGCAGAGCGTTTCTGGTCGACAAAATTACTTGTCTCCGAAATTCGCAATGTGCGCGAATTTCGACCAATCGCGAAACAGCAAATTTCGACCAATCAGAGCATTTCGGAAATTGTACTCCCCAGGAGATTTCGAATCAGTAAGACATTGAACCTGAAGCACGTTTTTACTAACAGTAAAAACGTAAACAACTCTGACAGTTGTAAACCTGAGAAATTGCCAATCCAGGAGAAAGACACAAGTGCTTGTCGTTTCACCTGCCGTTGCTGACTCCGCAAAGGTGTATGATTGTCGAGGAACGTTTCTCCATGGTTCATTGTGCTTGCTATTTTGGGATCTCCTTCCTTGTACCATAATCTTGTTCTATCAATTTTTCCTTAGTGAAACTATACTCGAATTCTACTAAGTCATGCTAACACTCTGTCCAGAATCACTGCCAAAACTCTGACCGTGCGTCACACGCAATTCAGCTCTCCCTTAGAATAGAATTCTCCGCAGCATGCTCCGCTTCTCCACGTCTCGTTCGATGTGGAGCCCAAGGTAGAAGTTCACGTCACCAAGGGACTTGCACTTGAACTTGTCTTGCAGCTTCAGCATCACCTCCTTCACAAGGTCAGAGGAGGGTGAGAAGATCAGGATGTCGTCCACATACACCACCATGAAGCTCCTCTGCTCCCCCTCGCCAAGCATGAACAATGAGTGATCGGTCGTTAAGGGGGTGAAGCCGATCTCCTCCAACACTTCGCGCAGCTTCATGTACCATTGCCTAGGGGCTTTCTTCAGCCCATAGAGGGCCTTCTTCAGCTTCCACACTCTGCCACTACCATCATCAAACCCCTCTGGTTGCGCCATAAAAATCTCCTCCTCAAGGATGCCGTTAAGGAATGCCGTTACGATGTCCATCTGCTTCACCACCCATCCTTTGATGGCGGCTCCCGCGAATAGGGTTCGCAGCGTCGTCGGCTTCACCACAGGAGCAACAACTCCTTGAAGTCCACCTTCTCCTTCTGCTGGTACCCCTTGGCTACAAGCCTAGACTTGTAGCGCTCGATCTTGCCGTCGGCGTCCGACTTGATCTTGAAGAGCCACTTGGACGTTATCGCCTTACGTCCCTCCGGTAGCTCCACCAATTCAAATGTGTCATTCTCCTCAATGCTCTTCAGCTCACTCTCCATTGCTTTCTTCCACTCCTTAGCATCACTACTCTCCAAGGCCTCCTTGAGAGTTTCTGGTTCTCCCGGCATCTCCACCGGAGAGGAGAACGCGAAGGCACACTCCTCGTAGTCACTCTCCTCGTCGTCTCCGACCATCATTGCCGCTCCGGCCAGGGCCGTCTTGCCCGGCTTCCCCGACGCATCATAGGTCAGCCTATTAGGGGGTTGAACTCTCCTCTTCCCCCTTCCTTCCTCCTCAGCTGCAGGGACTTGAAGGCCTTGGCGTTGCTGCGGGGTGACTCGGATCCGTGGAGCACTCGTAGTGCGGGAAGGAAGTGTCGGTGCACGCTTGCTCGCTTGCTGCACCTTCTCCTCTTCTTCCTCTGCATCCTTGGCCTCCTCTCCCCCATTCACAAGGGAAGATTGCCTTGTGGTAATGCTGCCACTGCTCAGCTCCAAAGGCAGCTCCACGTGCTCCAAGCCGGAACTCTTCACCTCCCCAAACCGCATGCCTATCTTCGCCTCATTCTCCGCCTTCCAATCCTTGTACATGAAGTTCTCCATGAACTTGCAGTCCCTGCTCACCAAGAATTTCTTGGTGAATGGGTCCCAAAGAAGCCACCCCTTGCTGTTTTGAGCCATGCCCAAGTGCACGGCCCATATCGCCTTGGCACCAACCTTGTTGTGCCGAAGATGCTTAGGCACGAGCGCCATGCACATGCACCCGAACACTCGAAGCATATCCACCTTTGGCTTCCTTCCGATCCACTCCACATAGGGCACCCATTTGTCTGCTCCCACATGAGTCAGGGCTCTGTTCTTGGCCACACACGCACTCCGCACCGCATCAGGCCAGAAGTAATCGGGTAGCCCGGCTTCAAGGAGCAACCCGCGTGCCGCCTCCGTGATTGTGCGGTTCGCTCGCTCGGTGATGCCGTTCATTGCAGGGGAGCATGGCATGGTGAGGGAGTGCGGAATACCATTCTTCTTCAGCCACAACCCAAACTCCGTGCTCAGGAACTCTCCCCGTCGATCGGTGCGGATTGACTTGACTAGACGGTCTTGTTGCCGCTCCACCATCGGGAACCAATCCGTCTTCAACGTTTCAGCCACGTCGCTCTTCTTGGCCAGCACGTACACCCAAGTCATACGGGTGTAGACGTCCACAATAGTGAGGAAATACTCAGCTCCAGCAGCTCCAAGCTTCAAGGGGCCCACCACGTCCATCACCACCTCATCAAGTGGTGCCTTCGCCGTTGCCTCCAAACTAGAGAATGGGAAACGGGTGAACTTGGCTTGCATGCACGTCGGGCAGCCAAGTACCTCATCGGGCTCCCCCTTCACACGTATGCCAGCAACCATCTCATTCTTCACTAGCTGCTGCAAGATAGGCAGGGCCACATGCCCCATGCGCCGATGCAAGGTGAGCCAATCACACTCCCCTGTAGCCTAAGTTGGATTGGAGAATGCCACGCTCGCAATAGCGCCCCACATACTCTCTCCGTAGTCCTCCTCCACTGCTGCCTTAGGGTTCTCCTCACCCTTTTGCTGCTCCTTGGCTGCTGCATCACTCTCCTTATGATCACACAACTTGCTGGTCCCCCCAAGATTGCACTTCTTGGATCCATTCTCCTTAGCGCGGCCGTTCGCGCCATCGCCGCTACCGACCGCTTCACCCTTGGTGCTGATGCTTGCTGCCACTTGCCTCTCCTTAGGCATAGGGACCACAGGGATCTGCCACATCTTGTTCTAGACATCCCTGTCCTCATGTAGGTCCCAAAGAATCCGATCGCCAAGCCTTGCGGTGTAGGTCTTGGCTCCCTTCGAGTTCGTGTCCATGCCGGCCTTTGCCAACCGCCGCACGGAAATCAGGTTCGCAGCAAGGCTGGGCACCCAAAGCACGTTCTTGAGGCCCACCATCTTCCCATCAGCACCCTTGAACATGGCCTTACCCATGCCTTTCACCTCTACTCGCTGCCCCAAAGCCGATGTGACATGCTTCACCGGTGACGGTTCAAGTTCGGTGAGCAAGTCTGGGTGAGGTGTCATGCTATAGGTAGCGCCACTATTGATTACCCAATAGTCCAGGGGGTGTAGGGTCACCTTCCCCACAGCTGCTGGCTCCTCAAAGCCTTCATCCTTCTCTGGACCAGCCGGTACTTGCGTCGACATGAAGTAGAATAGACCCGGGTACCGATCGTCGCTCGGGTCCTTGTCTGTCTCCGCTCTTCATGTTTGCAGCTCCGCCACTGCGACCGCCATGGCCTCCACGGCCTCTTCCTCTCCCTCCTCCTGCTCCTCTACCCTCTTGGCCTTGAGCAGGGGTCCAACCATCAGGGAGTTTGTAGCAGTCGCGCCACATGTGTCCGCTCTTGTGGCAACAGTGACACTCGCCGTCGAATCGGCCGCGACCGCGTCCGTAGCTCTTATCGTCGCTGTCGTAACCACCGCTCCCGCGGCCTCCACCGAAGCTGCTGCCACCAAACCTTCCTCCCCCTCGTCCTCTGCCTCTTCCTCGACCATATCCACGGCCGATGCTTGCTGCCCCAGCGCCATCCGCACTCGCGAACTCACGGCGGCGGAAGTCCTCTTGTAGGATCGCGCGCTTCACGTCTTCAAGCGAGAGGCGGGCCAAGTCATGGTTGAGGTTGATGATGAGTGAGGACAACGACTCTGGGAGTAAGGCCAGCAACTTGGTCTTCTTTTGGAGCTCGCTGTAGTTCAAATCAGCTCCTTCAAGCCGCGTCAACAAGCCGAAGAATTTCTGCACCCCTTTTTCAACCGTTTCATCCTCTTCAATTCGTAGTGTTACCATTTGCCGTTCCAACACCACAGCTACCGCCGCTGTTGCAGGAGCGTGTACACCCTTGAGAGCAGCCCATACCTTTGGTCGCTTCTCTGGTTCACGCTGGAATGGCTTGATGCGACGGATTTGGCAGCTCCCCAACGCTTGCCCAAGTAGGTGATAGCCTTGTGCGCTCTTCCGCAACCACGGGCTCTTCTCCGGGTCGTTCTCGGGGCGCTTCTCCGTTCCTTCCATCACCTCCAGCAGGTCATAGTGGTCAAACACGTTCTCCATTCTGAAGGACCACTCAGCAAAGTTGTCACCGTTGAACTTGTCAAGGCCAAACACTCTAGGCTCATCCCTAGATGGGCCAACACTTGGTTGCATGGACGCCATGGCTGAATCAAGGGGTTGGCCTTGTGCTTGGGCTTCTCTACTGCCACCAGCACCTCTGCCACCCCTTTCCTCAGGTCCAGCCATTGTCGAAACTGCTCCAAGGGGCTCTGATACCACTTGTTATAGTCACAGTAGGCTTCAATGTGCCTAAAACAAAAGATAGAGTGCACAGTCGGATTCCTGCACAGCGGCTTTAAACATTCATAGCGTTCTGGTCACAACATCAAATGACCTGATTCAACTTGGATCTAGAGCGTCTTAATGTCGCCTACAATAGGCAATTTAGATCGTACGATTTTACCAAGTATTGACAACACAGCGTTGGTTTGAACGAACGGCACTATGGCAGCCACTATAGTCTTAGAACACAGGATAGGAAGAGTTACGAGTTGGGAATGACTCCCAGCTTCTACAAACCCCAAGAGCCGAGGTATAGTGATGTGGAACAGTGCCACACTATCCCCAACCATGAAGGGTCTCGAAACTACCCTTCACTAGGGCCTACACCAAGTGAAATGTTACACTACACAAAGTAATGTAACTATCTTCAATATCTTGAGGTGTACCCTTTTCGCGGGCTTCGAGATTACTTGAATCTTGACACCAAGGCTCTGGTTCTTCACCACAAACTCATCCTTGAGTTTTTTATGGGTCTGCTGCACACACCTGCGACACGCCGAACATTCCACACACACGACAAAATAGAAACGGAGCACGAGACACACGACAAAATAGAAACCGCGCACGGGACACAAACGACCGCGTGACACGCGACCAGCGATAACTCGCTATTGACTCGACACACACAGTCGACATCATGACTCAACATTCACACACTATTATAAGCATGAAATATATATTATCCCATGCCCTCATACCATTCCATGCACACACGCATGCACGCACACAGACAACAAGCCGAGTGCAAACCGTAGGTTGCACCAACATGTTTGTGGGTCGTGAAGTATGAACTTGTTGAGGTTCAGTCACCCCTACAGCCTTACTCGCACAGAGTGAACTTGTTGAGGAGGAGGACTTTGGGGTTGGTGAAAGACTTGCACACATGTACCAGCCGCTTGATGCTGCTCAGCTCGATGACCCCATGGGTGAGAGGTGAACTCCCAGGTCGCAGTTCCTTGCAGGTGGTGAATGGGCACTCGCCAGCGACCTTGTAGAACTTCACAAAGGCAAAGTCGCCCATATCCCCCTCCACCTTCCGTCCTCTGAATATCAGCAGCATGCGCGCATACCACTCCCGCCGTGAAGCCATGATCGCCACATCCGAGAACCAATTTTCGCGGGGGCTGGCCTTGACAAATGCGGGCTTGTCCACCAGCTCGCCACCACGAGATGGAGGAATCGCCACCGCCGTGTGGACCTGTTGAGGGCGGAGACGTGTTGGTTGGCAAGGATGTCATCATGTTACCCATTCACGTCTAGGGTTAGCCCCTCACGCACACGCGCTCCCATGATCACACAACCTCTAGCCGCCTTGCTCCCACAAATGGCGACTGTGCCATGTGGGCCGGCAGATATGCGTGTAATCATGTCGTTAGGCATATGTCTGGGGGAGTCACGTGTACAACTCCTCGTCCGCGCAAGCTACTCCCATGTCCCTGCATCAAAGGAAGGTGTAACACTGTCCAAGGCCCTACCGTGCCATGTGGCGTGGAGATGGGACGGTTGAGTATGTGCTTCTGACGTCAAGAGGGTAGGGGAAGTCACGTATTCAATCACAATCCAACCACCGTCACCGGCGCGAACCCTGTGCTTGCGTCCACGAGAAGCTTGGCATCAACAAGCGCCCCTCGTTGCATGTGCATGAGAAGAAGGGGGGGGAGGGGGGGGGGGGGGGGAGGCGGGGGAGGTGAAAGGAGTGTTAGTAATTTAGCCGACACGTGTGCATGCATGTGAGGATGTACAAATCAAACTATCAAAACCAGCACCGTTCTTCCCATTACAAGTGCATCTACGGTGATGGGAGTGGTGGGGGTGGGAAGCTACTGAGTTTTTCCGTCATTCCAGGGTTTAGGTATGTTAGCGCACCAACACACCAAATCAACACCCGTACACAGGCTCCCTGGTCCATCCATCCACTCTCAGCATGACATCAAGTGGGGCCTGCTGTCCCAAGGAGTGCCAACTCTGCATCAACATACACATGTCGACCTCCGGGGGAGTAACCTCGCGCACACCTCTACATCATGGTGGCTGAACACATACACTTAGTCACACCAGCAGGAACATGCACCGTGATGCCCGACGGATCAATGCTGGTAGCTCGAATCCGCCCCACAAGCCCATCGATGTCCGGCCCCACGACCTCGCAATAATCTTGGAACAGCCCATCCTCAGCCATGATCGGTATCATGGGCTTGCACCCCTTGGTCAGTATGTACTCCTGGTGCCGGACCGCCTGCACATACACCAGGCAAAAGTACATTGAAGGTTGATGGTTGCATGTGATTCGCCACGACAAGCAACATCCAAGAGCAACAACCCAGCAACCCGCTCGCATAGCACCTGTCTTCTCACCTCGCGAAGTGCCGTGACATACTCTTGCCCTCCTCCTGCATCGGCCGCGATTTCACGAGCTATCTCGGGCTGCATGTCCTCCGACACAATCCGCCGAGGGATATCCTTCCAGTTCCCCCCTCGGACTGGCCCTTTCACAGTGCCCTTGTGCGTTCTCTCCCACAACTCGGTCGAGTAGTGGTGGGGCACGCCACGAAGAGGGATGTTATCGATTATGTGCATGATCAAGTGGATCTTGGGCAGCTGCCACTCGGAGCTCTGGTTGGGAAATGCCGCAATCAGCGCGTCCACCAACCTGTGCCACATGGGTCATGCAACATTGCCACTACACATGACCACATGTTCAAAGGCACCAGAATTCGAAAACGACGTTTCGGCGCCCTAGCGAACATCAAATACGCACTCTATCGCTTCTTCCTTCGCCTCGTCCAGTGACCCAAGTGTGTGCCGTTGCACTCCCAGCAGCGCCTTGTAAAACGTAGCGTAGAGCCGAAACGCCAAGACCTCCCTCCCTCTCTTGAGGCATCCATCCGCGTCACTACCCACACATCTGTCCGCGATGAGCATCGGCATCACCTGCATCATTGCCCTGTGCTCGAATGCAGCGTAGTTGGCCCCCGTCTGGAAAAAAGAGGACCCACCCGGGATACGCAGCATCACACTTGGCGTGTCCTTCTTGTACTCCTTCTTCTGCCTGTTAGCAAGCAACCGTGTAAACAGTAAAAGTCTTGCCCTTGCGGTAACTTACCACAAGCAAAACAAACGCACCGACCATAAGAATAGCAATGGCATACGGTTCGAGCTCCCTCAGCTCGGGCTTGGTCTTGCCCTCCAAGAAACAATCAGCCATGTGAGATGGTACGCCCGAATCGAGCACGTGGAGAATGTCTGCGACGCACGCCAAGTACACATTGCCTCAGTCCGTCTCGGAAAAGTTCCAGCGCTCGAGCACACACTCTCGAGACAGTGCACATACAAACAAACGTAACATAGACGGCCAACTCAAAAGGATACACTAGCACCTCTTAGGATCCGACAACGGCCACCTTATAGCACTGTGCGATAGCCCCACCGTCGTATATTCCAACTCTCACCTTGATGGGATGCGTTGACCACCATTTCTTCATTTCTTTGGCGAGCCACGTGGTTAATGAGTCGATGATCCGGTGTTGTTACAAGAACCAGATCATGTCGCTGTTGCGAGAAAAATGCCGCATTAAAGCCGAGCAAAATCCGTGTAAAAAGCTGCAATCATTGTGCACGCACGCACACGCCACGTTGATGCACATATTAGATAGAAACAGACAGAATGCAAACATGCCCATGCTATAAACATGAACTCACCTCGGATTGAGGCATTGGCGTTGTAAAGCATGCCTACAGAAAAGCCATGTAGATGCGGTTCGACTCTATCCGGTCCTTCCGGGAGAATGGGATGCAGGCCTGGGAAGAATGGGGTTTCAATGAAGTAAAACACATCCGCCGGAGCTAGCTCCATCCGCTCTAAGAGTCCTTTCAGAGCAGCCATTTCGATACTCGGTTTCTTTTGCGAGTAGAAGGGCATTATACACCTTGAAGCTAAAGGCTACGTCCCATGCCCGTGTGAATTCAGCCATCATCCCTCGTAATCTTAGGGTGCTCTGAACCTACCCATCCATTGGTCAACTATGGAGGCCGTGTATTTACCACATATCGTGGTTGGATTGGTTACCCACGTATCTAATTATGGCTCAAATGTGCTCTGATATGTTGCAAGATTATTGGCGCCATAATATCTTATCGCGCGAAAATATCCGTACATCATGTGGCCTTGTGACGCTATTGACATGCGTTTGTAACAGGCCCATCATTGGCAACTTCCGCCCTAGTGCTAACATAACCGGAGTGTTATCCAGCTTCGAAACACCTTCTGGCTGATATACGATATAAGCCGAGAATTAAACGGACCCGATTCTAAGAGGATAGCCTGCCGAAAGCTCTCGAACATCACGCGTTGTAAAACACTCGCCACCGAAGATAGAACTCATGCTTGGTTGACATCTGCCACCAGCTGTAAACGTGACAGATGACACTTGTATCGAACTGCGCAATCAAGCGTACCAGATTTGGGCGCGCAGATCACCGTACTCAGTAGAACTTGAAGCCACTCCTTAACCAGGGGGGGTGTCATATTGCAGTGTCACACCTAGGCAGATTAGCTAACCCGTACTCGGCGATGGGGCCTAGAACCAAGGCTCAGGCTGCTCGAAACGTTCGGAAGCAAGTAGGTGCTCATTAAGGGCGCCCGTCTAGTAGACGCGCCAACAACGCGAGCACGAAAGCGGCAACGAACCTTTGGCGAACCTGCTCAGCATAAGGAAACTTTATCGAACCCTAAAAAGAAGTTCGTATGGCACAGTCTTGCACTGGAAGACACAACTCCCCTGAGTCGGATGACTTGATAGCGGGTGGAAGATCGTGTCGCTATATGACCAAGATGGTCTCTCGTGTCAGGTGGACACGTCGGACGCACTTTCTTTGCGAGATGGAGAGTGCTTGACGGACGCTATTCTGGACTTTCACACCATGTAAGTATCTATACCGCAACCATTCGGCCTTTTGTTTATTGATGCTAGCACTCTAAACTCTCCTTTCTAATTATCATCTCGCGGTTCCACCAGACTTCTGCACATTCGTTTCCCTAAGCTACAACACGGCAAGCGCTGGATATGCCTGGACAGCAAGGCATTTGCATACGCCGAACGTTACACCAAGGCAATTAAAACCGGGGAAGGAGTGGATGTGCTATCCTTCGACTACATCTGCGTACTTGTGTTCTTTAGGTGAATAGCCACGTGATACACAGCCATTGATGATTCATGTTTCTATACCTATGGTCTACTGATTATGGATAGGACATATTGATCGATACCCGTGCTTGATTAACGCGACATGACTTGATGCAGCAATCACTACTCCCTCATGATAGTCGCTGGCGCAAAGTCGCTCCTGAGCAAGCCAGACAACGGGGAACCCACGGAGCGCCTGGAACTTATACTTTACGACAGCAAAAACGTCCACACGAAGTCCTCAATGGCGTTCGACAAAACCAAAACGTGAGCCTACTATATCAACTGCGGATATGGGATTCTGTATCAGATATTTGCAACATGCTACTCACTTCCATCCCAACCGTCGTTGCAGACTACTTCTTTTGCTTTGCATGCGCGATCACCCAAACACCAACATGGAGCACGCACGGACCGTGCTTATAGATGTTGCGTGTAAGTCCATGAAGGTAGGTGATTTGGTTATTCTCTTGTGTAACCCGATAGGCGTGGCACGTTCTCAAGTCCACCCGAGAATCTATATGACTAATCGCCCTGTACCACTTGTTGCCGCAGACTCAGCAGATCCCTCAACAGGACAACGCCTTTGATTGTGGATTTTTTGCCTGCCAGTTCATGTACGAGCTGGTGTCATCTGATTTCAAGACACACAAGAGCTACATCTGCTTCAAAGAAGTTATGACTCTGGACTACAGGAGACTGTTGAGGCATGATCTGTGCCTGCTTGCTAGCGGTGAACTTCTGAAGTTGCTCGAGGCCGACGGTTTGGAGGTCCCGCAGCAGCCAGACCCCAAAGTCTCTGATGATGGGGCGGTGGTTATCGCTGACAACGACGACAGGGGTGCTAATAGCGGTTTAGCAGTGATCGAACATGATATGCAGATCTTAATTGCGAACCAAGCGACCCCGCACACCGGAGGAAGTGATGAGGCGTTACCTAAACGATCCGGACGACGAATGTGAGTTTCGATGGCGTATCTTGTAATGATGTTGTGCAAATACCTTGTCACCTTTGGTTTGCGGATTTTTCCAATGGTGCTTTGTTTCAATGGCAATGGTATTTTGTATCCTGGCCCCCCACCCCTCGAACATGTCAGCGGTGCCGTTGATTTCTACGTGTGTTGCTTTGTTTGCATTTTATTTTGTGCGTGAACGGAATACGAGAGTATAATCATGGAACCTGTATGTTTTGGATGACAGTACCTATGGGCGGGGGGGACGCTGCATTTAGGTACCGCTGTACACGCTTGGCAATAGTCGAATCACGCGGATTGTCACCACGGTCCAATTTGGAAGCTACACGCGTTCATTTGACGTTGGTTCCGTGCCGAACGGCGAGCCGTTTAGATTGACGTATTCGAACGGTAAGATTGTAGGCCACGTTACAGCCTACTCCATGATACATTTGACGCGTTGTCTTACATGATTGAGTGTGAGTGTGACAAGAGTGGCCACGTGGTCATTCCGTTGATCGCGCCGAAGCGGTTGAAAGATTACAACTGGCAAGCGAGGATAAGCCTCGGCGCGATAAGGCACGTTGGCGTGCCATTGGTACCTGGGAATGTGCAGCGACCCAATCAGGGGCGCGGATAGTGGAGGTTGCCAACGAATCTCCGTCGTACGTTGTAATATGTAATGGCGACAGGTGGCAATGCATGGACCGTGTCAGAATGTGTTATTTGTCTAGTCTGCAGTGGGGTACTCTATAGTGAGTGCAGCCCGATTAGGGTTTGCTATATGTACTGCCCTGCTTACTAGTCCAAACCCCTCTTTCGTGTTCTATCTTTCTGCCTAGTATTCTGACATGCTATTAGAGCGGTTACGCTCCTGGCCTGTGGGCCCGCCTGCTTCCGCTGCCATACTGTGTGTCGCGCGCCCCGTGGCGCGCGATGTTCATTTTTTCTTCCCGCCACGCGCTCGGGGCGCCTGGCGGTTTTTTGCCCGCCACGCGCCCCCGCCGCGCGCCCGTGCACGCGGCGGTTTCGTCGCCCGTCGTGGCGCCCCGGGGGCCCGCGCGTCGCCCCCTCCCGTCGCCCGTCGAGGCGCCCCGGGGGCCCGCGCGTCGCCCCCTCCAGTCGCCCGTTGAGGCGCCCCAGGGACCAGCGCGCCGCCCCGCTTCCGCTCGCCCGCTACCCGCGCTCCTGCCCCGTGCTGCCTGTGTTAGGGTTTGGGGGTGGCGAGTCTGGGGGTGTGTGCGCCGTCCCCTGCTCCTCCTCCTCCTCCGTCTCCCACTGCTGCAGCTGCCGCTGAGGGGGGTGGATGTTTGGGAGCCGTCGGAGTGGTACTAGGGGGGTGGCGTGTGAGCAGTGCTAGGGGTGCAGCAGGGGGTGTGTGAATGGGGTGTGGGACAGTTGGGGGAGGTTGAGCGGAGGCAGCCGTCGTGTCGTCAGCAGTGCCGGTAGTCCGGGGCCCTTGCTTCGGTAGCCCAACGAGCCAGTCGCTACGCCAGTCGCCCGTGGGTCCGTTGCTCCTGCCGCTCGTCTTAGCCGCGGAGCTAGTTACTCCTGTAGTCCGGGGCCCTTGCTTCGGTAGCCACCATGCGCGTCCCTCCTATTACCCGTGTGACTGCGGCTTCACCCGTCGCCTCCTATCTCCACTCCTCTCACAGTCCCTCCTCCTCACTTGCCTTCTGTGAATGCCTCTAGCTTTGCTTGTGCTTGTGAACTCATTATGTGACTCCTTGCTGTGCTGACTATACCCCACTTTGACTATGGGGGTGTGTCGGAATGTGTTATTTGTCTAGTCTGCAGTGGGGTACTCTACACTGAGTACAGCCCGATTAGGGTTTGCTATATGTACTGCCCTGCTTACTAGTCCAAACCCCTCTTT